TGGACCTACATTAGAACAAGAATGGGTCATCGTATTGATCTCTGTTGTTATTTTACTCCATTCTTATCTTTGTAATCTCATTACTATTCTTTTCTTTCTGGTTTATAGGTATTTTCCCACCCAGTTCAGCACGCACCCAGTTACTTCCGCTTGTTTCTTAATTTTGTGTACGGTCTTCCTATGTGGAGCAATGTCGATGACTTTATGGTAGTCCAGGAAGATGTAACAAGCCCATCCTTCTCTTTCATGTGTGATCATTAACATCATGTCACAGAAGTCTAACAGATTTGCCATACACAACTTTCCTTCTCTCAACCCATACTTTCTGCCTGCTCCCCCCTTTTTTAATAGATATAACAGTAGTAGTTTTCCAGCTGTCCGGTAGTTCTCCCCCCTCCAATAAAGCGATGTAGACTTGCAAAAGTTTTGTTTAGAACTTCAAGTCTTTAGCATCCATCTGAAGACTTTGTGTGTTCCTGTGGCTCAGTGTACATGTAGAGCCTCTGCCTGCAGCCTCACCCCATTTGCTGCACCGTACCTGGTGCTCACTCCGGCACTGAAACCTGTTCGGGCCTCTACCTCTCGACGTTTTTGTTTAATGCCTCATGTATTTTCTTGTAATGTTTCGTTTAACCATTGAATATATCTAGTATAATAGCTTGTTCCATCGAAGACATTTTTCTAGATATGGTACACCCATTTTGTGTGTGTGTGTGTGTGTGTGTGTTTACTAGTTGTGTTTTTACGGGGGTTGAGCTTTGCTCTTTCGGCCCGCCTCTCAACTGTCAATCAACTGTTTACTAACTACTTTTTTTTTTTTTTTTCCCCACACCACACACACACACACACACCCCAGGAAGCAGCCCGTGACAGCTGACTAACTCCCAGGTACCTATTTACTGCTAGGTAACAGGGGCATTTAGGGTGAAAGAAACTTTGCCCATTTGTTTCTGCCGCGTGCGGGAATCGAACCCGCGCCACAGAATTACGAATCCTGCGCGCTATCCACCAGGCTACGAGGCCCCTTATGTGTGTGTGTGTGTGTGTGTGTGTGTGTTAACATAGTTGTTCCTAAGGGTCAGGCTTCATCCACAGGGCCTCGCCTTTTCAGTCGTTATAGTCTAATGGAAAGATTCCCTCTAATAATTACTTTGATCGTGTCTATTGTTGATGCTTTTCCTCAAGTGTGTTCCCTCCCCATGTAGCTCATATTATTTACTCACAACTGTCAACTTAGAGAAGTGTGTCCTTGCGTGCCCATGACTCGTCTGGGGGTCTCCGGCACTTGCCATGTCCTCCTCCAACCCTGAGCTTGCTAAACCACAACAACTCCCGCTCAACCTTGTCAATCACCCTGAAACTCTTGTATTTCTTAACCTTCACCGCTCTCCATTATCTTGTCCAGTGTTCTGAGGTTGGTTTTTCTCATCAGTTCCTCATCATTTAACCCTCTCAGCTCTAGGACCAGTCTCTCTTTTAGTGCTGTGAGGGTCAGTGTTCTCTCTGCTAGTGATGTGAGGGTCAGTGTTCTCTCTGCTAGTGATGTGAGGGTCAGTGTTCTCTCTGCTAGTGATGTAAGGTTCGGTGTTCTTTCTGCTGGGGATGTGAGGGTCAGTGTTCTTTCTGCTGGGGATATGAGCCTTATCACATCCCCATCAGCAGAGCTCTCTCTCTGCTGATGATGTGAAGCTCAGTGTTCTGTCCGCTAGTGATGTGAGACTCTGTGTTCTCTCTCTCTTTCTTAGTATGCTATTTGGGCTAATTCAATACTACAAAACATGACATTTTTTGGAGGGTAAACACCTCTTACCCCATGTTCTCGAGTTCACGAGAGCTGCCTCAAGTCCCACTCTTCTCGGTGACTTGCACCCACATTTGCTCGTGTGTTTGGTACCCCCCCCCTCCCACGACCATGTCTACGGAGACGATGTTACTGTAACAATGAAACGATGCTGAAAACATCCGTTAAAAGTTCGTTAGGTTAGGTCTGGTTATGTTACGCTAGGTTTGGCTACGTCGGGTTAGGCTAGGCTTGGTTAGGTTAGGCTAGATTTGGTTAGGATAGGTCTGGTTAGGGACGGCTAGATTAGGTTAGTATAGATTTGAGTTAGGTTAGGTCTGGTTTGGTTAGGCTATGCTAGGTTCGGTTAGGTTAGGTCTGGTCTGGTTAAGGTAGGCTAAGTTTGAGAAGGTTAGGTTTGCTTTTGTTAGGCTAGGCAAGGCATGGGCAGTCGACTAACTTTTTCCTTTTTATTTTAACATTTTCCAAGGGTGTCCTCTTGATCATAATTGTATATTTCGTGATCATATCAGCTCTGAAACGCTTTTGGTAATTAGTGGCTTTATATAAAATATAAATACTGTACCTACTTTATAATCATTGTAATCAGATCCTCTGAAATTTTGTATAAACTATATTATTATTGTTACAATTTATAATCGTCAGCTTGTAAAATGACATCATCCTTCCCAACTTTCAAGATTGGCTTTGAATAGCATCATCATTGTAAACGTATTGTATAAATATTGAGTTACAATCACATTACAGCTGCTAAGTGTCATCACTGGAGTTGTCTTAGATGCTACTTAGCCAGCCAATACTCCTGTTTTGGTAGTACTTATAGTAACGACGAAGACTATAGTATACATACCGACGTACAACGAAATTAGAAAGTAGAAATCTGAACTATTGAGTTGGACAAACCGGAAAACAATTTTTCACTTGTGTTGCTTTGACAAACTAAACTAAACTAACCTATCCTAACCTCCCTAGGCCTAATACATGATATCTGAGGTCTAATATAGTACATATGTGTGCTATACTAGGCCTAGAAATATTTAAGTTTGTTTTTTAGCTTCATTTATTTAACAAAAAATCCTTACTAGTCAGTATATTACTATCTAAAAGCTAAAAACGTCCGAATTCTGACTATTGACGATCGTCACAATTGGTACTGTCTAAACAGGATATCTAAACAGGAGGATGGGGTTTTAAGTGCGCATTATGTGTCCTCCATATGTTGTGTAGGAACCTTGTGTGTGCCTGTTGTTGTTGTTTAAGATTCGCTACTTGGAACAAAAAGTTCCAAGTAGCACGGGCTATGGTGAGCCCGTAGTGCCTCGTCGTGTGTGTGTGTGCCGTCGTGTTCTGGCTGTGGGAAGGGAGAGTGCAACTGGCACGGCCGGCGCTCAATTTACACCCGAAATATCTACACATTTCCACAATTGTTCCCAAGCCAAATCAAGAATTTAAATTTGAATTTAAATTAAATTAGAATTTATGTATTGACATATTTATTTCATGAGCCAGTGATCCTATATTCATTTCGTGAGCCAGTGATCCTGTGAAAATTTTTCTTTATTCTGGCATGATATCATAAGCATCGTTTTTTTTATTAGTAAAATTTTCAATACCAATTCCTACACATGAACAGTTGTGCTCTGGGTCTTATTGTATTTTTAAGTCGTATAGACCAACTGCATAGTTTTAAGTATTTAAATTTTAAAATTAAAAAGTACGCGTGTGTGATTTAACAATGTTAAGGAGACAGTATAGTGTATGACCAACCTATCATCACAACCTATCAATACGTACGATCTTGTAATAATTATTTATGTAGTTTTGCACAAATTTATATTCAGAAAAACCTACAAAAAGAGAAGTTCGCGCAAAATTTTATGTATCTAGCGCAATTTTGGGTCGAAGGCATAGAATGAAACTAGGTTCGATTCGGTTGAGCTTAATTTGGTTTAGTTTAAAAAACGTTTAGTTAATTAAGATTTGGTTAGGGTTAGTAAGTAAGGTCAGTTAACACGAAAGGAGGTCGACCCTCACTCGGTAAGTTAAGGTGTGTTGTGTGTATATTTAAATGTGGGACATACAGTTGTACTTATATTAAAACGATAGACATTAAACTTTGTTCATATTAAAACATGGGGCATTGCGTTTTGTGCACGTTTAAAAGCCAAAGATGTATCATAAATCGAAACAACAATTTTGCTAATTATACGCAATTATGTTTAATTAGCAAAATTGGCGTTTGGTACTGGCCTTAAGTTCAATTTTGTAGTTAATAAAACGAACACTGGCGGATGTGCTTGTTCGTGTATGTGGGAGGAAGTCTGAGTGGGAGGCAGTGTGTTTGTGTGGGTGAGTGGGAGGGGGGGGGGCAAAATCTGTGTGTAATTACTTAATTGCAGTTACTAATTAAAGCTAATCTCGTGGTGTCTCGTCTTCCCCATTATATTGTTATGTCAAGTTTTGAAAATCCCAATAGTGTTGACACACTTTCTTCTTGCAATTAAATCTATTTGTCAACCACTGTTTGCAGTTATTATTATTATTATTATTATTATTATTTTACGTAATTCGCATCATAATTTGTTCTTGAGTTTTCGTTCATAATTGTGTACGTTGCGGTTATATAACTTTTGTTCTTCTATGTTCCAATTTTGGCAAATTTACCGCCTCAAGGCCTTTCCTTTCAGGTCTGGGAACTATTTAGTAGCATATGTTTGAACATTGTGTGTGTGTGTGTGTGTGGGAGACTATGCGTGGGAGAGTACAACGGTCCTGAAGCTGGTCTCACCACTTCTGGTTATGGAGCACTCACAGGGAGAAAGTGTGGAGTGCCTCTTGGTGTTGGAGGGTGCCAGGCTGGCCCTGGCACCCTCAACTGGTCTCCCACCCCCCTCCTCTGGCTCATTGCCAGCCCTTTTGTTTCTCTTTATAGATATATTTTCTAGTTTGCCCATGGCTCCAGATCCCTTTCTTTTACTCAGGGTCATATCCCCTTCCCCTCCCATGGCGATTGACCCTGGATAAGCCTCCACCCCTTCCATGGCTCATACCCTATTGTTATGGCCACAAAGCCCCTATCACCCTGCCCGTGAATCTTCTACTCTTCCTATGGCTGTTTTTTCCCCCTAAATATGGCTCTCAAACACCTATCACCAATCTCTTCTCCGGTCCTCAGGAAAATGATAAATAAAATGTGAGAAATTATGCCAATTTATAATTTATTATATACGGATTTCACACGTTTAAAATTTATGCTTATCATTACTGGCGTATTAACGACCGACATATATTATACAGCATCGTTAACAGCTACACCATTTAATTATTCATAGGAGGTGAAAAATAATGTATGCGTCCTTTTAATCGGGCAATTTGGCTTTGCACTGAAGAACAGTGACAATAATATTGTCTGAAACAGGAATGGTGAAACAAGTTTTAAAGGCTCTGTTTTACTAAGAAAAAATAGATCTAATACTGTTGACACACGTACCAGAAATGTTACAGCAGGTCATATAATAAATTAAGGGTTGACAGTAACAGAAAGACTACAGGTGGCCATGTTATATATGTTGAGAGTAACATAAATGTTAGAGCAGGTGGCCATACAATTAACGTGTGTGACGAGGGCGACGGTCGTCTCCTACTGGGCGGCGTCAGCTGTCTTAGGTAGTGATACGGAGAGGGTGATCTGGACGGCGTGCGGCGAGGTAGGGGTGTGGGCGGAGTAGGGCGCGGAGGTTGTGGTGTGGGCGTGGGCTTGTTGAGGGGCGACTGGGGTGATGGGGAGCGGCATAACGGGGCGCTGCTGACCGCTCCCCGAGGACAAGTTGAAAGGGGAGGCCCTCGAGGAGTGGCCCTCGAGGGTGTTGTCGCCGTAGTGGAGGCCGCGACGGGGCCAACCACCTGTCGTCCAGCAGACAGATGGCGGGTCGCCGCTTACACTATCATGGCCCTCCTCGGACCGCATCTCCGGCTGCGTGACCTCACTTTTGATGGTGCAGGAGGGGCCCCCGTGGTCCTCCCTAACCTCCAGCCGGGACCTCTCCTTTTGGCTGTGGTCCTCAAGGTCTTGAAGGTGGTGGTGGTGGTGGTCTTTGGTCTGCTGCAGAAGGTTGCCTTTGTTCCCCTGTATATGGTGGTTGGCCTCACTCAACAGGTGGTGGTCGGTGGCGACCTGTAGGTGCGGGGCGTCGCTATGCCGTGGGTGATGCTTCACCACCTGCAGGTGCTGCTCCTCACCCACCTGTAGGTCGTCCCCACTATTATGCTGCAGATGATCTTCAGGGACCTTGATACGTTGATCTTGGACCATCTGCAGGCGGTGCTCATCTATGACCTTCAAGCGAAGGTCATCGGTGAGGTGCAGGTGGTGCCCCTTGGCCTGGAGGCGGTGATCGGCCGGGGCGCCCACCTCCATGCAGGTCTCGCCCATAATACCGTCAATGTCATCGTGGTGGAGCGGTGGACGGTCAGGCGCCAGGAGACTCAGGACGTCGAACTGACGCTTTGGTCTGGTGATGCAGATTGCGGCGTCCGTAGCGGCCGGGCGGGCGGTGAGGCCTGGCGCAGGTGTGTCCGAGGAAGGCAGGTCGAGGGCGGGCGTGTCGTGGGCAGAGGGCAGGGCTGGTGGCGGGGGCGACAACGCCTCAGGCTCTGAGTCGTCGTCGACGGCGAGTCCCAAGTGTTTCCTGACGCGGCGCTGGGCTCGCCGCCGGCGGAAGTCTCCCCGCCTGAAGTCATCAATGTTGGCGGGGTGGATGGCCCAGTAGTGGCCCTTCCCGTTGGCGGAGCGGCCCGACTTCATAAAACAGTCGTTTAAGGAGAGGTTGTGACGGATGGAGTTGCGCCATCCAGTGCCTCGGGATCTGAAGTAGGGATAGTTGTCCAGGATATACTGGTAGATGTCGCTCAGAATCAGCTTCTTATCCGGGCTGCTGAGGATGGCCATGGCGATGAGTCCGATGTAGGAGTGCTGGGGCTTGGGCTCCTCGGGTCCCCGGGGCAACAGCATGCGAGGGTCAAGGAGCCTGTAGCCGTAGAGTGGGTGGGGCGGCGGGTACGTGGCTTGCGGCACTTGGGTGGACGCGCCACCCATAAAGCTTCCTCCAAACGCCATAGACCCCAGGCCGCCCATCATCGGCATACCCAGTCCACCCATAAAGTTGCCGCCCATGCTGGCCTCCTGAAGGTGGTGGTGATGGGCTGAGAGTGGTGGTCTGGCCCAGGCCAGACCGGCAGAGGCCAGACGCAGACGCTCAGCCAGGGCCAGCTGGTACAGCAGGCGCTGCTGGTCTGTGGGCACGGGCATCGCGTGGGCGTCGCTTAAGGGTGAAGCTTTGACGGCTACGGGCGCCACCACCGTGGGCGGCGACACCGAAGACTCACGCCCACAAATCGAGTCCATGCCTGGGCTGGCTGGCCGTGGGGACATGACTCGCACTCGTCACTGTGTTAGTCGTCACTGGCAGGGAGTGAGCGACGACACCCACTACTCTGCTCGCCTTCCGCTGGTCTCATCTTAAGCTTCACGCTGCTCTCCGCCGCGGTATAAGAGCGACAGTCTCCGCCCCGCCCCAGATTCATATTTCCAGCTCAGCCAATCACGAAAGAGGTAGGAGGAGCTTGGGAAAGTGGGCGGGGTCTTCCCGGGCTGGGAGGGGGCAGCCCCGACCACATCCCACCAGTCCTCTGCCAAACCCCATGGCAGTAAGGGAACTGGTCACACCCGTCTAACGTTTTTTTTCTCAACCTCTCCTCAAAAAATCTCCCGAAAACGTATACCATAATTTCTCCCGTCAGGGATTGCCGCACAAACTATAAGAACGTGTTACTTAGCCTCGCGTCACTTGCTTTACGAAGGACGATATAATATTCTTGTAGGTAAGCGTCGTATTACAAATGGGAGCCTTACTTTCAATACATGTATCTAGTGCTAACACCGATGTCCATGCTTAAATACTGGCGTTGATATTATTAGTCGTAATATATAAATCGATTCTCAGGTGTTTCTGCTATTGTAACCATTTTAATGAATCACTTCTACATCCTTACCATTGAATATTTACAGCATTGTATATATTGTAGCCTCACTACAATATATATGTAGTGAGGCTATAATATGTAGCCTCGCATAAAAAAAATCCTAGACTAATTTATCTTATTTCCGGTACAAAAGCTATTAACTATAAGAATATTTATTGGTCAGTATAATTTCTGATACAGTGTGGACCAAGATAACGTGAGAGGAAGCAGATGCAGCAAGCCCAGACATATACATAGGATGAATATGTTGTTGTGGTCATCCATAGTAATATACTTCTGGATGAGGCTGTCTGAGGGATATTTTACATTCAGTATCAGCGCCTTTTGTCCAGGCGCTCCGGAGAAAAGCTCTGTGTTTCACCACATTATTAAAAAACCCATTATATATATATTGTATAATATATATATATATATATATATATATATATATATATATATATATATATATATATATATATATATATATATATATATATATATATGATAGTATTTAAAGTAACTGTTTGGTCGAAAGTATCAATATGTAGTGATGGACCACCACAAAGTCGACGTTTTGTATTATTGAATTTGGCCAAATTGGAAACTTTATTTTTTTAACCGCAAGATAAATATAGAAGCTAACTTAACCTTTGCTGTCAATCCAACCTAATGCACGCTTAGGCCTAATATAGTACATGTATGTGCTAATACTAGGCCTACTGATGTCTAAAGTTAGTATTAAGCTTTATATAATTATACATATATATATATATATATATATATATATATATATATATATATATATATATATATATATATATATATATATATATATATATATATATATATATATATATATATTATATATATATATATATATATATATATATATATATATATATATATATATATATATATATATATATATATATATATATATATATATATATATATATATATATATATATATATATATATATATATATATATATATATATATATATATATATATATATATATATATATATATATATATATATGTGTGGTAATGTAAAATGAACGCATATATTTATGTTCATAAACCTTTTACACAAGGTTTTTAAATTTGCAATTACCTTAATGTGTATTCTTTTAGCCTATGCAAGATTAGGTTAATTTTATATAGCATTAATGTCTGACCGTGTTACCGCCTGTAGCTCATAAAATTAACATTTACCAGCGAGTGTATTATTATTATTATTAGTAGTAGTAGTATTATTAGTATTATTATAAAACTAAATTATATATGTTTATTTCGCGATGTATCCGCGGGAATATGCACTTTTGAGATCATCTTAGTTTGGAACCTAGGTTCAGTGTCCTACTACATGTTCAGTGTCTTACTACATGTTTAGTATCTGCTACATGTTCAGTATCTACTACATATTTAGTGTCTACTACATATTTAGTGTCTGCTACATGTTCAGTGTCCACTACATGTTCAGTATTTTATTTTGTATTGTATTTAATTATTTATGTACAAGAAGGTTCATTGGGTTGTGAGAATACATAACTACCACATGTTCAGTGTTATCCTGCGAAGCCGATGGTCTTTGACAGCTGAGTGGACAGCGCTTCGAATTTGAGGTCTTGAGGTTCCGGGTTTGATCCCCCGGTGGAGGCGGAAACAAATGGGCAGAGTTTCTTTCAGGCTGATGCCCCTGTTCACCTAGCAGTAACTAGGTACCTGGGAGTTAAACAGCTGCTACGGGCTGCTTCCTGGGTGTGTGTTTAACAAAAAGGAGGCCTGGTCGAGGACCGGGCGGCGGGGACGCTAAGCCCCGAAATTATCTCAAGATAAACTCAAGATATATTCCCAAACTGATCTGCTTTTGGGTTTTGCTTGAACACAACAAGGAGGTTTAAATACGTTCACACTTGGCGCGCTTTTCCTTGGCCAGTTCAAGTTCAAGTTCAAGTATGTTTATTGAGATAAGAAAGAAATACATCTCAAAGGGATAGAGTAGCTTAGGCAATTTCTACCCCCCCTGTCCTTGCCCAGTAAAATTTGTCAACGTCTGCCCAGAAGCTACAACGTGCCGAGTAACATTGATTCAAGGCTGACAACAAGATAACTACCAGGAAAAAGCGCCAAGCCATTACGACTATATAGCACTTGGAAGGAATCAGGATAAGGATTTGGGATGGAACGGGGGGGGGGGGGGGGGGGGAAGGAATGGTGGCCAACCACTTGGACGGTCGGGGATTGAACACTGACCTGCATGAAGCGAGACCGACGCTCTACCGTCCAGCCCAAGTGGTTGGGCGATTCAAGGCTGAGTTAACGTTGATTCAAGGCTGAATTAACGTTGGTTCAAGGTTGAATTAACGTTGATTCAAGGTTGAATTAACGTTGATTCAAGGCTGAATTAACGTTGATTCAAGGTTGAATTAACGTTGATTCAAGGCTGAATTAACGTTGATTCAAGGCTGAATTAACGTTGATTCAAGGTTGAATTAACGTTGAGTCATGGCTGAATTAACGTTGAGTCAAGGTTGAATTAACATTGATTCAAGGCTGAATTAATGTTGATTCAAGGTTGAATTAACGTTACTCTTGTATAGGGTGTCCACTGGGGTCGTATTGTGGTCCAGACCCCGCTATAGTGGGTCCCCATGTCAGTGACGACCTCCCTCCCATTCGCATGATTGCTGCTCCGCTAAAAGAACAGCTGTTTTTCCCCCTTAAACAGAAAGAAGCGTCTGAACGTAGCCAGCCCACCTAACCCATCAGAGCCGACAATCATTAGGCCCACGAAACGACAATGTTCCGATGATTATAATTACCCTAAACCACCGCAATTTCTAAGTACTGTACAATTCTGGAAAGGTCTGACTGTCATCTGTGTCTCGGGTAGTTGTTGTTCATCTTAGTTGTAGTAATGCAGAGTATTTTAGTGTTTACTCGTTTCCCCTTGCTTCTTCTAGTCCTTGTGTGTGTGTTTTGACCTGTTAGGTTGAAGACATATATTATGTAAGTAAGCCGAAGGTGTATAGTTGGAGAAATAAATGTTACTTTGGCGCTCGCCTCATGCGATGCGAAGAGGTAGCGCTGTAGCCTAGTGGCAGAGGTAGCGCTGTAGCCTAGTGGCAGAGGTAGCGCTGTAGCCTAGTGGCAGAGGTAGCGCCGTAGCCTAGTGGCAGAGGTAGCGCCGTAGCCTAGTGGCAGAGGTAGCGCCGTAGCCTAGTGGCAGAGGTAGCGCCGTAGCCTAGTGGCAGAGGTAGCGCTGTAGCCTGGTGGCAGAGGTAGCGCTGTAGCCTAGTGGCAGAGGTAGCGCTGTAGCCTAGTGGCAGAGGTAGCGCTGTAGCCTAGTGGCAGAGGTAGCGCTGTAGCCTAGTGGCAGAGGTAGCGCCGTAGCCTAGTGGCAGAGGTAGCGCCGTAGCCTAGTGGCAGAGGTAGCGCTGTAGCCTAGCGGCAGAGGTAGCGCTGTAGCCTAGTGGCAGAGGTAGCGCCGTAGCCTAGTGGCAGAGGTAGCGCCGTAGCCTAGTGGCAGAGGTAGCGCCGTAGCCTAGTGGCAGAGGTAGCGCCGTAGCCTAGTGGCAGAGGTAGCGCCGTAGCCTAGTGGCAGAGGTAGCGCTGTAGCCTAGTGGCAGAGGTAGCGCCGTAGCCTAGTGGCAGAGGTAGCGCCGTAGCCTAGTGGCAGAGGTAGCCTGGTGCCAGAGGTAGCGCCGTAGCCTAGTGGCAGAGGTAGCGCCGTAGCCTAGTGGCAGAGGTAGCCTGGTGGCAGAGGTAGCCTGGTAGTAGACAGCGTGAGTGGTAGAGATAAGGGTCTTCTTAATGTCACAAAATAATGCTGTAGTTGGTAAATTGACTTTCCTGCCTTTTAACTGAGGAAGTGCATTTACTGGACACAAAAATCTTATAATCACTAACCCCCAGGCACTATGATAACCCCCCCAAGCACAATATCAGAAGCGCCTCCAGTTACTTCACAAATGTCTAAGTATAGCGAGAAACTTAAGTACAAAATATATCAGGAGTCGAGCTTAGTAACTCAGAAGAGTGACAAGACATATTTTGGAATTCCCTAAAGTCACAGAAATATCATATGAACTCTGACATCCTCATCGTAAATAATCAATTATGGAACTTGAAGAAAAATAACTACTATAACCACTTTTGTTTATAATACATCAAGGGCAGAGCGTCAAACACGACAACCACAAAAGCCTGAATGCTTCAAGATGTGTTCACAAACGCACGAGGGCTTCAATACGTGCTCAAAAGCTCGCGAAAGCTTCAAAATGTTACCACAACCGCACGAAAGCTTCAAGATGTTACCACAAACGTACCAAAATCTCAATATGTTGAGATAAAAGGAAACGCTTGAGTTCGTTTTTTTCAGTTTGGCGAGTGTTTTTTTCCTCCGCACCAGCGATATCACAAGATATTTGTGATTTTAGTGAATTTCTGGAAACACGAGCCGTCTTATTGCCTCTCCCAGTTAAACTCGACACATAACATCTTCACCTCTCTCTCTCTCTCTCTCTCTCTCTCTCTCTCTCTCTCTCTCTCTCTCTCTCTCTCTCTCTCTCTCTCTCTCTCTCTCTCTCTCTCTCTCTCTCTCAAACACACACACACACACACACCGGAGCCTCGTGGCTGAGTGGACAGCACTTGGGGGTCGTAG